TCTTTCCCTTTGCCTCCGCAGGTGGTTTGGGAGCTGTAGTTTATACCGATATCTTACACGCTGGCAGTATGATCTTGGGATTAGTCTTGTTAATGGGTTATGGTAAGTAACACCTAAAAAGACTGGGCCCTGCGGTTGGAGTATTTGACTCGAGCTACCTGGGGCCATCAGCACCTTCATCTCACAGAGAGGAGACAGAGGCCCTTGGAACCCAAGAGTATTGTTGGAAGTCATGCTGAAAATTGGAAGGTGACTTCTGCTCCCTTCGGGAGAAAGTGGGGTCAAGGAATTAGAGTAGAGGTGACAAACTCCTGTGCTTTGGTACACCCTGCTCATCTCCACCTCTGTGCCTTTATCTGGGCTCTTTCGCTCTAGGTGGAAGCCCCTGTCCGTTTATTTATTTATTTATTTATTTATTTATAATAATGAATCCCATTTAATACAGTAGAGTTTTAAGAGAGCAAATCTTTTTAAAATTATTTTATTAAACTTTATTATTTATTTTAATTTGACCAGAGAGAGACAAAGTAAAGAGAGAGAGAAAGTGAGAAAGCAAGCCGCCAGGTCTGGGACTTGAACCACAGTCGGTCATGTGGGAGTCCAGCATCCTTAACCACCATGCCACTGCCAGCCCTAACACAGTCCCTTTTTGACCTCTCAGTGAAACCCATCTGTCGTAGTCATTGGGCAGTCTTCCTTGAGTACATAATTCTGTCATTATTCTATCAACGCATCTTTCTTCTCTGGACTCGCATCGCTGTCACACAAAGTAACTTTTACATACTTTTTTTTTTTTTTTTTTGAGAAAGAGGTTTTTGCTATAGGGCACTTGTGCTCACCGGAAAGGCAGAGAGAGACAGAGAGACAGAAAGCGAGAAATACCCCCCCTAGGGAGGATGGCCACGCCGCAATCCCTTCTCCTCCATTCTCCTCTCGGGATCTTGGGCATGCACGCACACGCACCAGCACCCAGCGTGAGTTTAAGCCACCAGGTCTGGGACTCAAACCATAGTCGACTACATGGGAGTCCAGCAACATAGCCATTGCGCCAACTGCTGGTCCCACTTTTTTTATACATATTTTAATTGTTCACTGATTGTTTCACATAAATCATACGCCCCAGGTCCAAAACTTTTTAAGAACCAGGGCCGTAGTATCTCCCACACAAAGTACACTCCGATACATTAAGTACTTAATAAGCAGGTGCTTATTATAAGGGTGAAAATAATAGCTGATATTGAGTATCGGGTGCCATGTAGGCATTTAGCCATCATTATATGGTGTCATTTAGTCCTCACAGTCTCCATGGAGCATAATTAGTTTTGTTATACCCATTGACAGAACAGGAAACTGAGTCTCAGTTAAGTATCTTGGCCACGAGGTACGCCAAGAGCTGGATCACCCTAATGCCAAAGCCTAACATACGAACTAACATGTTACAATACATACAGTGCCTGTAATGAAAAGTAGACTTGCCTTAAGATGAAAGTTTCTTGTCATAACTATGAATGTGAACTCAGCAAGGTTGGTATTACCGCGGATCAGAGATTAGTCTTGCAGAAATCTAGAAGGAAAAGCTCTGAGCTTAGGCGGTTAACAAAATATATATGGAAATGAGAAATGAGTACAATAGAAGGATTGTGGGCCCACAGAGCATGTTGTTGGGGCCTCATGGAATGAGAACAGAGAGCATCACCCAGAATCACACAGTCCTCAGCCTCTCCGTTCAGGAAACATTGTTCACCATGACGTGTCCTCGGTGCTATGTTGCTGGAACACAAAATTGTGTCCGGTGTGGTCCCAGAAACGATCATTTGCAAATGCACTGGGAAGCAATGCCTAATTTGAGTGACAAAACTATAAACTATCAAACAGTGAACCATTGTGTTTAATTGTGTGCTTGCGTTAAATACCAACATTTTCAAAGCCTGCCAAGTCCATTCCCAAAGATAATGGCATCCAAATAAAATAAACTTTAGAAGTAGGTGGAATATTCCACAGAAGGTTGGCAGTTGTATTTCTAAATTAGTATATAGTCTTTACTGAGAAACTGAATGAGAATTTTAATTGCAATATTCAGGTGAGTTTGTTGTTGTGAAGCAAGTCACTATAAAGGAAGGCAATCATTGTTTTATTTTTAAAATATACAACAATTTATACAGCCAAATGAGTGTTGTCCTTCAAACTAGTTACCAAGAGAACCCACGAACGTTCTACTTTATTATTTCATTTTTAATGTTTTTGTAAACAAGAGAGTACACAATGAAATATCGGTCACCATCCATTTGTCCGGTCCACTTCCCAAAGACACCAGTATTAGATGTTTCGCATATATCCTTCCAAAGATACTCTTCACATATACAAACACATTTTTCTGTATGAGAGATATATTCTAACAGAATCAAAACATAAGCTTTAGGACCAGCAGATGGCATGATGATTATTAAATCACTGGAATCCCATGTAGTTGATTGTGGTTTGAGTCCCAGACCCGGCAGCTTAAAACTCATAGCAGGTACGTATGTGTGCATGTGTGCCCAAAATCCTGAAAGAAGAATGGAGGAGAGAGGATTGCGGTGTGGCCATTCTCCTTGGGGGAAGGGGGGGAGGGCGCAGGGTGAGTTCTTGCTCTCTGTCTCTTCAGTGAGTGCATGCACCTTATAACCAAAAAAAAAAAATCTCTCTAAAAAAATAATAAATAACAGGCTTTACAGCCTGGGGGACCAGCAGATGGTATAATAGTTACGTCACTGCACTCCCATGTAGTCAGTCGCAGTTTGAGTCCTGGACCCAGCAATTTAAAATTCACACTGGGCCTGTGTGTATACATGCCCCAAATCCTGAGAAGAGAATAGAGGAGAGGGGATTGCAGTGTGGTCATCCCTCCTGAGGGGTGATTTCTCTCTCTCTCTCTCTCTCTCTCTGTCTCTGTCTCTCTGGTGAGCACTCTTAACCTATAGCAAAAATCTCTCTTAAGACAAAAGGCTTTACAGCCTAGTACCATGTAGGAAGCATGAATAGAGATCGCCTGCATCTTTTCTATTTTTTGTATTTATAATGAACTTTTTACTGAAAAGTGTGTAAATCAAAGGGCAAAACCAAGTGAGTTATCACAAAGTGAACACACATTGGTGACCAGCACCAGGTCAAGAAATCATCTTTTATTTATTTATTTATTTTGAGAGGTTTATGCTATAGGGTGCGTGCGCTCGCCAGACAGAGAGAGACATAGAAACAGAAAACGAGAAATCCCCCCCCAGGGGGGATGGTCACGCCGCAATCCCTTCTCCTCCATTCTCCTCTCGGGATCTTGGGCACACAGGCACACGCGCCCGGCGTGAGTTCTGAGCCACCGGGTCCGGGACGCGAACCGCAGTCGACTACGTGGGAATCCAGTGACATAGCCATTACACTAACTGCTGGTTCCCAAGAAATCATCTTTTTGTTTCCTTCCGTTTCAAACTCGATACTTTCTGTTCTCGCCTATTGCACTGGTCGGGACTTCCAGTACAGTACCGCCTAGAAGGAAAGCCAGCAGGCATCCTTGCCTCTTCCCATTTTAGGAGAAAACAAGAACAACAAAAATATTGGCTATTGATTTTTAGTGGATATTGTTTGTCAGACTAACAAAATTCCCTTCTGTTCCCGGTTTGTTAAGATTGTTTGTCATGGATGGTTTTTGAATCGTGATCAAGTATTTGTTTCCACATCTACAGAGATGATAATATTACTTTTCTCCTTTTTTTCTGTTAACATGGTGAATTACACCGACATGGTCTTGATTGTTAATTTACCTTTGCACTTTTGGAGTAAACCCAGCTTTGTCAAGAGATACCCCATGTTTGAGCCATCTCTATGGCACGGCAGTGACACACTACTCAAGAGAAGCCAGAGGGACCAGCAGTTAGCGTTATGGCTACGTTGCTGGACTCCCATGTAGTCGACTGCGGCTCGAGTCCTGAACCCGGTGGCTTAAACTCACACCGGGCGCATGTGCATGTGTGCCCAAGATCCCAAGAGGAGAATGGAGGAGAAGGGATTGCAACATGGCCATCCCCCCTAAGGGGCTGATTTCTCGCTTTCTGTCTCTCTGTCTGTCTTTCCGGTGAGCACACGCGCCCTCGGGAAAAAAAAAAAAAAAAGAGAGAGAAAAGCCAGATACTACATGGCAGCTGCAGTTCGAATCCCCAGCCTGGTCACTCTGCAACGCACCAGGAATTCTTGCAAATGACCAAGATGCAGTAGGCCAAAGAATGGAGGAAAGGGATCACAGGGTGACCAGACACTCTGGAAAATGTTTGTCTTGCTCTCACTTTCACTCCCACATGCTCACAAATAAAGGGAAAAAAATTCTTTCTAACAGAGATACCCTAAGTTACTCTCCAAAATCAAAATGGCTATGCTAACTTACATTTTCAGCAATGCATGGAATGTGTGTTTTTCCTAATCCCTACCCCCCAGCTAACACTTGATAAACTTTTTTTTTTTTTTTTGGAGAGGTTTTTTGCTATAGGGGACGTGCGCTCGCCGAGACAGAGAGAGACATAGAGACAGAAAGCGAGAAATCACCCCCCAGGGGGGATGGTCACGCCGCAATCCCTTCTCCTCCATTCTCCTCTCGGGATCTTGGGCACATACACACACGTACCCGGCGTGAGTTTTAAGCCACCGGGTCCGAGACTCGAACCTCGGTCGACTACGTGGGAGTCCAGCGACATAGCCATTACGCTAACTGCTGGTTCCCGACATTTTAAGACTTTTTAAAAATTTGCCCATCTTGGGACCAGCAAGTGGCCTGGTGGTTGAGGTGCTAGACTCCCACATGGTTGACCACGGTTCGAGTCCCAGAACTGGCAACTTGCTTTCCCACTTTCCCTCTCTCTCTGTCTATCTCTGGTCAAAGTGAGAAGAAGAATAATGATAGTGAATAAAATTAAATAAACAATTCTTTTTGTAAATTTGCCCATCTAATAGGGTTTAAAAAGATATGTCTCATTTCTCATTTTCGTTTTAATTTGAAGTTTCTAGATACTGGTGAGGTTGAGTATCTTGTATACTTAGTGGCTGTTCTTATTCATATCTCCTCCTTTGTGAATTACCTGCCTGTATTCTCTTTCTAGTAGGCGTCTTACTTATTGATATCTAGAAGTCCCTTATAAATGATATAACTTCCTTTTTTTTTTTATTAATTTGTCAGAGGGCACATGCACTGGCCAGAGAGAGACAGAGAGAGGGGTGGAAAGGGAGAATTATCACAGTGCAATCCTTTCTCCACCCTTTCTGGATTTGGGGCACACAGTGGAAAACTATTGCTCTTAGTTAAATAGATGTTTTAGTGCCTTTAAAAAAAATGTTTTTCTTTCGTGTTAAGAATTAACACGACTTAGAAATGCCACAGGCTCCAAAGACATTTTCAATTACGAAGTTTTATAAGTGTTTTGCTGGCATGGCAGGGAAAAGAATATAATTTATGCCTAAGTCAAGATTCTTTAGCTAACTTATCATGGCTCTTTAGCTCAAAACGGGTGTAGGGGGACCAGCAGTTAGCATAATGGCTATGTCACTGGATTCGCATGTAGTCGACTGCGGTTCACGTCCCAGACCCGGTGGCTTAAAAGTCACGCCAGTCGCGTGTGTGTGCATGCCCAAGATCCCAAGAGGAGAATGGAGGAGAAGGGATTGCAGCGTGACCATCTCCCCTGGGGGGTGATTTCTCGCTTTCTATCTCTCTGTCTGGCAAGCTCACGTGCCCTATAGCAAAAACCTCTAAAAAAAAAAAAAATGGGTGTAGGCAAATGAGTACTTTCTTGGCTCACAGCTAAAACTCTGGGGGCACACTACCTTCAATCCTGGTGAGAGCCAGGGCGCTGAGTAAACTAGGTAGGCAAACAGTCCTCACTCTGAATACCTTACTGATGTAGAACCCAGCAGAAGGAAGCTGTCTTTTTGGTTCCTTCAGCAGAAAAATCCCGAAGCCAATTCCTTGTAGCCCGGTTTGAGTCTCAAGTTCATTCCTCACACATCCATTGTTGCCCAGAAAGAACAGAGGATGTTGGCCAGGCCTAGGTGACATACCAGATGGGAAGAGAGGACAATTTGGCAAAGCCCACCTAGACCACACAGAGTGGAGTACAACTGGCAAGAGGGGTTCTACAGCCACAAGTGGGAATGTGGGGCAGTGCTAGGCACTCAGCCAGCAACCCTTCTTTCCAGCTGCTCTGTCCTTGGGCGCAGAGGGTCTTAACCATGGGTCCGTCCATTGCACCTTAAAGATGAGATACAGTCAAGGGGGTCTCATTCTGCAGTCTCGGTCCCTCAGTCACGTGTTACTGAAGGAACTGATCAACATTGTGGTGTTTTTAAGCCTTTAGCGAAGTGGAAGGATACGAGGGGCTGCTGAAGAAGTTCTTCCACGCCATACCAAGTGTGGTCAGTGATGGAAACTGGACCGCAGACCCACAGTGCTACATCCCTCGCCCAGACTCTTTCCATATCTTCCGAGACGCCATCAGTGGAGACTTCCCCTGGCCTGGAATGGTCTTCGGCATCTCGATCCTCTCCTTGTACTACTGGTGTGCTGATCAGGTAAGCAAGCTGCGTTATCGCCACACGTGGACGCTGGTTGTTCCCTGTGCAGTCCAGATCCTGCTGTAGTCTCTGCAGAGAAGCCCGTCTGCCCTTCATGGTCAAGTTTGTCTCCCAACTTTTTCTTTTCAAGTTTACTTATTTATCTCATCTATAAATGAGAAAGAGAGACAGGCACCCTGCCATAGGGTCTTCATGCTGTGGTCCACCCCAGTTTCATACAGCCTGGTCAATGGCATGTATGTGTACATTGCATTCCGCGTGTTCGGAGAGGCCCCAGGAAGTGAACCCAGAACCTTCCCCCTGTGGGCTCAATTGCAATATCTCTGTGCCACCACCAACTTGCCCCACCTTTGCCCCACTTTTATTTAATGCCGAAATAACTTTGTGAAAAATTCTGTTTAAAAGCAGAGTCCGGGACAAGGTGGTGCTGTGGTAATGACCACAGGGTAAAGGTCATTGCTGTGCACCCTCACCTCCCCCAGTAGGCTGGGAGCACGCATGCCCGTGATCCAGGCTGGCTGGACTCGGGGTGGATTGCAGCGTGAAAATCCTAGTGGGATTGCACGTCTCTCTCTCCTCCCCATCTCTCTCAGGAGAAATAAATAAACGAACTTTTATAAATAAAAATAATAAAAGGAGTTTCTCCCACCATCCCATCTAGAACACATCGGCTATGTTCATTTTTTTCTTCCCTATCATTGTCTAAAAAGCACAATTACTTTTTGGAAATGAAAACTAGCTTTTTTTTTTTTTTGGTTCCAATTGTAGCGATGATGCATACTCTAAAATATCATTATTGTGGGGCAGCTGGAGGCATCGTGGTTAACGTGACTGTATCCCACATGACTGACTTTGTAGTCTGAGTCCAAGACCCAGTGGCTTGAAAAACTTCCAGATGTGTGTGCATACGTGCCCAGAAGCCCCACAGGATGATGGAGGAGAAGGGATTGTGGCGTGGCCATCTCCACTGGGATTTCTTGAATCCTCATCTCTCAATCTGTCTGCCCCTCTCTGGTGAGCACACACACCCTATAGCAGAAGCTAAAAAAAATTATTGTATTGTAAGGTATGTAATAGGAGACAGAAAGAGAGAAATCAGAGAAAGACAGACAGAAAGAGAGAAATCAACCCCCAGGGGATGGCCACACCACAGTCTCTTGTCCCTCAGGATTTGGGGCATGCGCACAAACATGTCTGGCATGAGTTTCAAGCTGCTGGGTCTGGGACTTGAACTGCAGTCAACCATGTGGGAGTCCATTGCCTTAACCACCACGCCACCTGCTGGCTTCATATGTGCATTGTAAAGAAGAATGATACTATGAACATCTGTATGACTGGCCATTGCTCCAGTTAAGAAATAGGTCATGATTTACCTTAGAATAAAAGTGACACATTTTTACCCAAAAAAGTCACACTATTTTTTTTTTTGAAGAGGTTTTTTTGCTATAGGGCGCGTGCACTCCCCAGACAGAGAGACAGACAGAAAGCGAGAAATCACCCCCCCCCAGGGGGGATGGCCACGCCGCAATCCCTTCTCCTCCATTCTCCTCTCGGGATCTTGGGCACACATGCACACGCACCCAGCGTGAGTTTAAGCCGCCGGGTCCGGGACTGGAACCGTGGTCGACTATGTAGGAGTCCAGCGACATAGCCATTATGCTAACTGATGGTCCCAAAAGTCACACTGTTTTTTAAAAGTTACATGTTTTATCTCACTGTGCCAAGTTAGACTTCAACATACAAAAATATGGAAAGGGGCTGCAGGGTGGCACAGATGAAACCCAGCTCTCCTCGAGGCTGACCCACATGGGAAGGTTCCAGGTTTGTGTCCAAAGACCTCCCTGAGTACACCAGCACACATGTGCCCAAGATGCAGGCTGTCTGAGGCTGGGGTGAATAGCAGCATCAATAGCTGGCCCCTGTTAGGGGAACAGGCGGTGGCATGGTGGTTGTGAGGCTGGATTCCCACGTGGCTGGCTGTGGTTTGAATCCCAGACCCAGCAGTTTGAAACTCACAACAAACAAAGTTCAAAACCCATTAGGAATCAATCTCTCTCTCTCTCTCTCTCTCTCTCTCTCTCTCTCTTCCTCCCTCTCTCTTTGTGCGTGTGTGCATGACACTCATGGGAGAAAAAGTATATATAGAGACAGACAGATAGACAGACACTCAGCTATGGTTGAATATTTTAGCACTCCCTTCTAAGTACTGTAACTGACAGGCTCAGTTCTGTAGTGGTATAAATTCTTAACTGTGTAAGTTTCTCTGTGCCTAGCAAACAGAAAAAGTACATTTATAAGCACAAACTATAATAGTCTATTTTTTAAAGAATTCTTTAATTTTATTTTTATTGTTTTTAAATTGGTTGTAAAGCATGTACAGTCACCAGAGAGAGAGGCAGAGGGGTGGGGAAAGAGAGAGCAAAACACCAGGTCCTGGACTTGAACCATGGTTGGGCATGTGGGAGTTCAGCGCTTTAACCACCACGCCAACCGCTGGCCCCACTAGTCTATTATAAGACCTTATTACAGGAACCAGCAGTCAGCATAATGGCTATGTCGCTGAACTCCCATGTAGCCGACCACAGTTCAAGTCCCGGACCCAGTGGCTTTAACTCACGCCGGGCGCGCGTGTGTGCGTGCCCAAGATCCCGAGAGGAGAATGGAGGAGAAGGGGTTGTGGCATGGCCATCCCCCCTGGGAGGTGATTTCTCACTTTCTGTCTCTCTGTCTGTCTCTGTCTTTCTGGCGAGCACACACGCCCTGTAGCAAAAACCTCTCCAAAAAAAGAAAAAAAAAAAAAAAGACCTTATTACACTGTTAAGAATCAGTATCATACAAAACCATGTGTTTAAGCTATTTAATAATGTTTAAAGTAGTATGTACATTTCAGGAGCTATGATAGGCCAGCCCTCATGAGCTGAGTATTCAAATCCAAAAACTAGTAAAAACCACAGAGGGAAATGAGAGAGATACAGATAGACAAAGAGAAATAAAAAATAAAAGCAAAAGCAGAAATCCATGGAGAGTAAAAAAGTAAGATGGTTAATAAAACCAAAAGCTGATTCTTAACAGACTCATAATGTAGACTTCTAAGAGTGATCAAGAGAGGCACATAAAGTATCAAACTGAAGAGAAGAAATTATCAAGGCTGGCAGGTGGCATGATGGTTGAGACACTGGACTCTCACATGGCCGACCATGGTTTGAGTCCTGGACTAGGCAGCTTGCTTTCTCACTTTCTCTCTCTCTCTCTTTCTCTCTCTCTCTCTCTCTCATGAGTACACATGCTCCACAACAAAGAGAAGAAATTACAATCAAGGGTTTTTTATAGGAATTATTTTCCTATGAAATAATTTTGAGGGACCAGCAGTTAGCGTAATGGCTATGTCGCTGGACTCCCATGTAGTCGACCGCGGTTCGCATCCCAGACCCGGTGGCTTAAAACTCACGCCGGGCGCGTGCCCAAGATCCCGAAAGGAGACTGGAGGAGAAGGGATTGCGTCATGGCCATCCCGCCGGTTGGGTGATTTCTCGCTTTCTGTCTCTATGTCTCTCTCTGTCTGTCTGGCGGGCGCATGTGCCCTATAGCAAAAACCTCTCCCCCCCAAAAAAATAATAATAATAATTTTGAAATTTGTTACAGGACATATGTGCTTGCCAGAGAGAGGCAGAGACACAGAGAGTGCAAGTGAGAAGTGGATGATGCCAGCAGGTTGCATTGTGGTTAAGGAACTGGACTCTGATACAGCCTACCATGGTTCAAGTTCTGGACCTGGTGGCTTAAAAATCATGCTGGGTGTCTGTGTGTGTGGGGCCAAACTCCCAGGAGGAGAATGGAGAAGAGATTGCAGTGTGGCCACCCCCTGAAAGGGCGGTTTCTCACTTTCCCTCTCACTGTCTCTGTGTCTCACCTGGTGCACATACCCTATAACAAAAACCTTTCAGATATTATGAATAATTACATGTTAGTAAATTTCTTTTCTTTTTTTTTTGGAGAGGTTTTTGCTATAGGGCGTGTGCACTCGCGAGACAGAGAGATAGAAAGTGAGAAATCACCCCCCCCCAGGGGGATGGCCACGCTGCAATCCCTTCTCCTCCATTCTCCTCTCGGGATCTTGGGCACGCATGCATATGCGCCCAGTGTGAGTTTAAGCCACCGGGTCCGGGACACAAACCGCGGTCGACTACATGGGAGTCCAGCAACATAGCCATTACGCTAACTGCTGGTCCCCATGTTAGTAAATTTCTAAAAGCTTCATGCAGTGGATAAATTCCTTGGAAATTATAAAAAGCCACTTCTGGCAAAATATATAGACAACTTGGAAGGACAAATAAAGCAATTTGACTGAAAATGCTAATCAAAGACATTCTCTTCGAAAGCACAAGTCCAGCTAGCTTTGCAAAGAAATTCTAACCTGTAGGGGCCAGGAGATGGCATAGCGGTTATGTCTCTGGACTCACACATGACCGACTGCGATCCAAGTCCTGGACCCAGTGGTTTGCAATTCACAGCAGGTGCATGTGGGTACATGCCCAAGATCCTGGGAGGAGAATGGAGGAGAAGGGATGGTGCCATGGCCATCTCCCCAGGGGTGATTCCTCACTTTCGCTTTCACTGTCTCCAGACACCTTCTACCAGGTGTTCTAGAAAGTAAAAAAAAAAAAAAAAAAAAAAAAAAAAAAAGAGCAACAACTGCCCTTCTTATTTTATGAGGCCAATAAAATACAAAGACAATACAAGTGAAGGAACTTATGTGTCCTTCCACTTAGAAACACTGACGTGGCAATCAGGAATATTAGTTGAGTTATATAGGTAGTCTTTAACTATAGCTTTATGGTTAAACCAGGCGCCACCCATGCACGTAAGGAAGGTGTAAACGGAATATGTTTTAATGTAACTCTTCTTATTCATAAACCGAAGAAGGAAAGAATCGCACAGTTAACCTCAAGAAGTGGAAAAACAGCATTTGATAAAGTTCAGTGCTTACTTGTGATTAAACTTGACATCAAAAGAGGAAGAAAAGGAAGTTTCCCTACCCTGATCAAGAGTATATGCAGATAGGGAAGCAGCAGTTAGCGTAATGGCTATGTCTCTGGACTCCCACGTAGCCGACCGCGGTTCATGTCCCGGACCCGGTGGCTTAAAACTCACGCCGGGCACGTGTGCGTGCGTGCCCAAGATCCCGAGAGGAGAATGGAGGAGAGCGGATTGCGGCGTGACCATCCCCCCTAGGGGGTGATTTCTCGCTTTCTGCCTCTATGTCTCTCTCTGTCTGTCTGGCGAGCGCACGCGCCCTATAGCGAAAACCTCTCCAATAAAAAAGAGTATATGCAGATAGATCACTGAGAGCATTTTATAGAATGAAGAAACTTTGCTTAAATGTCCTTAGAGATCATGAATAAGGAAAGACTATCCTGAGGCCAACACGTGGCCTGGTGGTTAAGGTACTAGACTCCCACGTGGCCGACTGCAGCCCAAGTCCAGACCTGGCAGCTTGCTTTCTCTCTCTCACTCTCTCTCTCTGTACATGCCCTGTAGCAAATTAAAAAATAATAATGATAATAAAAGATTAAATCATTCTTATTAAAAAACTATAATAGGTAATGTTAGAAAATATTTTTGAGACAGACGGGAAATATAATCATATGGATTTGATCACATTACATAGGTTTTTTTCTTTTGGACATGGGGCACATGTTCTTGCCAGACGAGACAGAGAGAAACAGAGGAAAAGTGAGAAATCACGCCCAAGGAGGGATGGCCATGTGGCAATCCTTTGTCTTCCATTCTCCTTCAGGGATTTTGAGCATGTACATACACACACCTGGTGTGACAGTCAAGCCACCAGCTCCGGGACTTGAATCGCAGTCAGTCATGTGGGAGTCTAGCATCTTTTTTTTTTTTTACATTTTTTTTCTTTATTTATTTACATTCATTCACTGTACATCATTATAGCTTACAAAATGAGATTTTTCCATTCAGAATACACTGTATATTGGCTCAATCAAGCACATCAACATATGTGTTATTGTCAACACATAATTTTCCATTTCTTGTTTCCTGTATATTTTGCCTTTTTTCCCATCCTTGATTCCCTATCTCACCCTCTGCCATCTCCCACCCTCCTCCCACACTGTGTCTGGTATCTATTGTTGCTTTCTCTGCCTCCCCCATTTTATTGTTTCACTAAGTATCTTAATAAATCTAAATATTTTCAATAGCAAGCACAGCTGAAATATACATGAACACAAGTCTGACTTTAGGCATAAACCTCAGTGAATAGAATGAACATACTATAAAGTAGCACCTAGCTTGGGCTATATAGCTTACTGCAGTCATCAAATAGGTATTTTTAATGCCTTTTTTTTTTCTTCTGAAATTTTTTTTTATTAATTTACATTCATCCCCTGAGCATCATCACAACATACTAAATGTGGTTTCCCATCTAGAATATACTGCATAGTGGCTTAATCATGCATGTTATCATCCATAATATTCCATTTCTACTTTCATATATATATATATGTTTTTT